GACCACTGAACTACGGGGGACGGCAACGACCATCGTGAATAAGTTACTAGATGTGATATAGCGCCGCTCACTATCCACTGACTTACACGTTACTGCCATGCAGAGGACAGGGTAGCTCCCTCACCAAGCGACGAGCTTACCAAACTTAAGCCGCCAATTAACTCATGGCATTATATCACATAACTTATCACATAACTTATTCACGATGGTCGTTGCCGTCCCCCGTAGTTCAGTGGTCTCAACCAAGGACTGGCAACAGTCGAGTTGCGAGTTCGAGCCCAACCAGGGCCCGATGGAATGCGCACTGCTGACGATTCCCGAAAGGATGAAACGCGGGTACAGTGCATTTCCGGGCATGTGGCGACTGTCTGAGTGAGCCTAGATGTGATGAACTTCTTCCTATAATATGTAGAATGGTTACAGACTTCATCCGAATGACTCGGCTATCATCGAAGTTGTTAACCCAAAGTACGAAGCCTCATATAGACGGCAGTTTGTGGTGGGGGACCAGGAGTTCATGCGCATTCTCGGCATTAATGCTATCCAGTCTCTCGGTGTTGTTGGTTTTATTTGATCGTTTCGTGTATGTTTGCCAAGGAGAAACCGATATTAGTGACCAGCATCCGTTTGTGTTTATCCCGGGTTTGGAAAATTTGAGGGAAGCGCACATTCATCGTTGAATTATTCGATACGACCGAAAACACTAATGGCTAGCAGAGTTCCATTGGCATTATTTGGCAGATTCTCCGCTTAGTTGAGCATATTAATGAGAGAGGGTGTGATTGCCAAAGTCGACGAGCAAACCGACTGAGTTAGTCAGGTCGCAATCATTACGAGGAAGACGCGTGAACTGCGAGTGTGTGTTGACCCAAAACCGTTGAATAAGGCTTTGCGTAGGCAGCATTACGTACTAACTACCCTAGAAGACATTTTGCCTCGTTTGGCCGAAGCTGAGTGTTTCACGTAGGTAGACCTCTCTTTGGCATTCTGGCGTGTGGTACTAGATGACGAATCCAGTTTCCCTCCTACATTTGTAACATCATTTGGGTTTTGTCATTGGCTGCGTTTACCATTTGCTTAAAAGGTATCAAATGAAACTTCCCACAATCGATTGGTGCGAGCGGTAGATGAGTTAGATGGTGCAACTTGTGTGGCAGACGATAGTATTATGTATTGTTCGACAGAAGAAGAGCATCACTCTAATCTCAACCGCTTTTTGTAGCCTTGTGCAAAAGAATATCAAGCTTAAACGAGACAAAATGGGGCTTCGAAAAGACGAGCTGATTTTTCATGGACATGTGTTAACCACCAGAGAGATCGGGGTCGATCCAGGAAAAATCAAGGCAATACGGCAGATGCCGCCTCCTAACGACGTGAAGGGTATCCATTACTGAAACGGTACGGGGACTTATTCGAGTCGTTTTATGCCAAGGCTGACTAATATCATGACGCTAATCAGAAAGCGAACACACAGAGTAGTAAAGTGGAGTTAGCGAAAAGAACAAGAAATCTCTTTGGCAACTATTAAGCATCTTATCAGCAAAGCGCCTGTACTCGGGTATTACGATCCAGCGCAGCCTTTGGAGGTACCGTGTAACATTAGGCAAGACGGAGTAGGTGCTGCTCTCTTACAGATTGAAAAACCTCTTGATTTCCACAGTTGAGCACTCACAGTGATCGAGCAGCGCTAGGCGCAGATTGAGAAGGAAATGCTCGCGATAGCCTATGCCATGGAGCTTGTCAACGAGTAACTTTCGGAAGCAAGACAAGTGTGTACACCGACCACAGACCGCTTGTGCCAATAGCCAGGAAACCCCTGCACATCGTTCCTAGTCGCCTTCAGCGTATGCTTATCCGACTTCAAAAGTACGCCGCGGATATTGTGTACGCGTCTGGTGCACATTTATTCACCGCAGACACGCTGTCAATTCTCATCTACCGGTACCTGAGCATAATCGAGAAGACGTCGATGCAGTACACCTTTACAACATTTGGCAGTGACGGAGGATCTTCTGAATAAGACGCCAAATAGAGGAAAATGTAACGTTTGCAGCTATGTGAGACCTTATCATAAGTGGTTGGCCAGAAACGAAGAGGCTGCTGCCGATGGAGCTAACACCCTACTTCAATTTTCGGGATGAACTCCGTTCATCATGGTTTGCTGTTCAAGGGAAGCCGTATTCTAATTCCGTCATCGTTCCGAGTAGAAAGGCTGAACTACCTTCATCGCGCTCAACATTAACTGAGCAAGAGGATTGATCGTTTGACCAGGACTGACGGGGCCAATCAGAGATAATGTATCCAGTTGTGAGGCGTGCCGTTCCCATGAAATCTGGCAGACAAGGGAACTAATGGTGCTGCATGAGGTCCTTGATCGACTGTGGCAAAAATCGGAAGCGGTTCTATTCGGTGCTAAGTAAAAAGATTACCTTCTCACGGTAGATTATTATCGTAATTGTGTTTAAATTGATTTACCGTTCACTACCAGCACAGAAACAGTAGTCCACAAGCTTAGTTGTCAATACGCGCGGCACGGAACACCGGAGGAGGTGGTCCCCGACAATGGGTCCCAGTTTACCAACGGTGCGTTCCAGACGTTCGCAACCAAGTGGGAATTCATGCACCAGGAAATCAACCCATATCAAAGCCAATCTAATGGAAAGGCAGAGTCAGCAGTGAAGCTGGCCAGACGACTGTTATTAAAGACTAAAGTTATTGGCGAAGACTGGTACCTCATGCTACTGGAGAATCGCAACACATCTTCGACGGATATCAGCTTGAGCCCATTTAGAGCCTATAAAGGCGAAGGGTTAGAATGCTGATGCCGACATTTACCGCCCTTTTGCGCCTAGTTTCGCCACAGCATGAACGATTACAGAACAATCTGGGACGACGAATGAGCACTCAGACATTGTACTATGACCGCCGTGCACGGGTACTGCCTGAGCTGACATTGGGGGAGGAAGTGTGGGTTCAACCATTATCCGACAGTCAAGAGCGGTGGAAGAAAGGTGTGGTGTCTGCAAAGGCCGGGGCACGGTCTTACGAAATAGATGATGGAGGGACAAGGCTCAGAAGTAACCGAATACATTTGAGACGAGACCGGAGCCAACAAGGTGGACTGGGAGTGGGCCGCCCGATGACGTGCGGCAGAGTATAGCCGCAGGTACGATGAAGATGACTCAGAGTGTCAGCGTGTACGGAGTGTATAGCAATATGGAGGCACCAAGATAAGAAAAATTAGAGGATGTGCCAGGAGTGTCATACCATGGTGGACGGAGGGGCCAATCAGGTGAACTAGATACCCCATGGGAGACGCGTGTTACTGCTTTGCTGGGCATAGATTGGTCGACATTCCTATGAGTTAATCATCGTTTGTTTAACTGAGTCAAAGAAAAAGACTCATGGCCTCACAAGGGTTTTTAGTTATGGACGTGAACGCGTAGCTCACATCGAGGTGTTTGGCTTGTCAAACATGGTATAATTTTGCCGAGTAGTCTTTGCCGTATGAACGCTTGTCCCAGAGGGACTGAGTTCTACAACAGCAGTGGAGGATGATCCGTGCTATAACCTAGTCAGCTGTCAGTCCTGCCGGTCGTCCTGTGTCACACATCGGTTAGTGGCACAAGCTGTTTGCATCCGGAACCAGGCAGTGGTCTGCGGAACGCTCACCACTAACAAGACTCCGGAGGTAGCAACGGCCGTCTGGTGCTTTTCCAGAGGAGTGCAGGCCTGCATGGCAGAGAGTTGACTGCGACGAACTACCTCAATGCTTCTTAACTCTCCGTAACTTATTAATCAACAAGTTCTGTGCGATTCTTTAACTAAACCCGCTTATTTTCTGTCATATTTTGCCTTTTGGTGACTGGTGACTACCCTGTCCACTACACGGTAATAACGTGCAGTTAAACGGATAGTGTGCGGCGTCTTTACACAACTAGTAAGTTAATCATGATGATCGTTACCGTTCCCCCTAGCTCAATAGTCTAAACCACAGACTAGTAACAGTCCAGTTGTGGGAGTATGCCCCACGTGGGTCAGATGGCATGTGCACTGCCAAAGATTCCCGTAAGAATGAAAAGGATGTACAGTGTTTTTCCGGTTGTGTGATGACGGTCTGGCTGAGTCTGGTTGTGGTGAATTCCTACGTAGGTACTTCAATTTCCCCTACTGTTCACTTGTAATATCTCGAAAGATTGAGGTAGTCGAGTAAAATGAAGGATAGATTCCGAATCAATGACACGGAATAATCCCAAAATCACTATAATATCCTTGACACCAAAACCACTGTTTATCAGGATAATCTAACAATTCGTAAAGCGAGTTCTAAACGCATATATATGTCTTATATCTGAAAACTTGATCAAGTCACAGTTGATGGTTTGTGTTTACTATAGATTGATCAGGGTTAGTTTATGTGTGTTGTTCGAGTAAAATATGTTTGCTAGTACTGTCCGTAAAATCTCTGCGCCAATTTCACGTATATTCAAATGTCTATGACAAGCCTAATTCTCCTTGATTGATCACTGTCCGGAACTGGTAAATTTAAACACGAAATGGTTACAAGAAAAGTTAGTGGGCAGCTTAAGATGGTGTATTTGTGCTGAACGTAATAGTCCAGACGAGACTAAAGGTCATCAGAAAGTGCAGCAACAAATAACATACTACAAGTAAATTACATTCCTATGGAGCTGCACAGAGTGCACGAGCGACACTTTTCAACTTTGAGAGGGGTTATCTTTATTGTGTTCAATTCCAGGGTCTAGCAGTGACAAACAATGTTAACGCCAAGCATGGTGATTATCCCAAAGTGTCAGTTGCTCCTCTGATTTGTCGCATAAATTTATTCCCATCTAGTCATCGATAGCTACAAATCTACTTGACTGCCAGTCTTTGTTGAATGTCCTAATTGCAATTTCTATGCTTTTAGTAGATTCGTTATGGGAAATTCCGGAATAGAGCAGTGTGTTAAGAGAGCCATCTCTTTAAATCACACTTACTATGTGCAGGTTAGGGATCTCTGGTCCATCTTCTGGAACTTTGGGTACATAGCCATCTGCAATTTTCACGCCAAAAGCTCTCAACTCGCTTATGGTGATACCATCGACGGCGTCGAGGAAGTTCACTTGGTCCGGCATAACGATGATGTACCGCGCTTCTATTGGACCGGGGATGATAAACTCTTGTCCTTTCTTGGTGAATATTAGCCGGCTTTTCATAACATGCCAAGGATACAGCGCACCGATATCGCATCCAGTCGTGAAGTTATCCCAAGTGTACACAGAGAAGGAAATGTTCAGTCCGGCCTTTGCTGTGTTGTAAGAAGGCAAACATAGTCAAGAGTGAGATTACATACCAACTTATTACGCAACCTTTGAAGCCGCTCTAAGATACACTCAAAACTAGAAAGCATTTGCCGTTGCAGCAATGATAGCCTTAGCAAAACATCCTCTAATAAAAGTACTGCAGACACAACATAAAAAGAACTATAAACACTGTGTCAACAGGAGTCAATGGCACTTAAAACCCTGATCATCTTCTACTTATAGGGCGCTAATATGTAGTTACATGTAATAAAGACCAAGGAATACGAGAAGACCAACGGAAATGTCATAACTTTTTTTTTGAGATTGTCGATCAGAGAGACAGATCACACTGCCCAACTAGACTTTTCCATTTGCTTTAGTGCAACAGTTCACGATCTATTCGACTCAGGCCTTTGATACTTCCGCACTGTTGTTGGTATATCTAAAAACGCAACTCTATTTGTGTGAATCCTTGTTTTGCAAAGCTATTCGCAAATAAATCATCAAATTTGTCATTCATCACTCATGGCCAGATATATTCAACAAGACGGTGATACGAGATTGTCTTTGTTGCGTACCGTATAAGGGTTTCCTGTGAATCGGTTGTAAGTCCTTCGCTGCATTGGATGGACATCATGCTGCGCTTACATCGTGTAGTATAAGAGAGACTACCCAGCTGGCATACTATATTCGGGACATGTTATGTTGGAGTGACAATTTTTCGTAATGTCTTCATGCCTGCTTAGTAGACAGCAGGTTGTGCGCATCGGTGACCGTTTCTCTAAACCGAAAGCTATCAGCAGTGAACTAATTCCAGTGATTGTTCTTGGAAAGTTATTTTATCATCAATGATAAACGATGTACCCCAGAAAACAAGACACGGGATCTCATTTTTCTTTACTATGACATTAAATTCATCTTTGTCTAGAAGGTGCAGGCACGAAAGCCGCCGTACACTTTAATCAGGATAAACTCACTTCACTTGAACCCTGGTTCCAACTGTCTTTTGCCGCGGACAAGTGTAGGATCCGGCAGTACAAACGCTGTGCCGCTTGACAGTGTAGTACTGCAAAGTATAGGCACTTCTGTGACACATGCTGGTGACACGTCTTCATAATGAAAGCTTCTATAACCTAGTGAGTTCGCTGTATCCCCGGTGCCTTGAGCGCATCCTTTTGCTGTGATGAGTGGAAGAGTTCCATGCTGCTATACCATAGACAACTGTCAATCACGTAGGTCCGCGGCTGTCACTCATAGCGAAGTGGCGCTAGCTGCTGGCATCTTGAAGTCATGGAGGAGGAACCCGACAGGGGTCCGCTGGGATGCACACCTCCGAGGAGACCCAGAAGATCGAAACGCCGGCCTCTGATGCTTTTCCAGATTAGCCTAAGCCTGCTGACTGAGAATGACGATGATAAATTCGCTGAATAAATAAATAATAAACCCCAAACGGTATGGTCATTGATAGTAACGGGTGCAGTCCAACTTCTCAGAGGTTCACAATTAATAACATAGATAAGGAAATAAAACTGAGGCGAATGAAGTAATCAGGTCCAGGGCAATCAAGTAGATTGCCTTGGACCTGATTACGTCATTCTTTTCAGTTTCATGTTCTCAGAGCTTGCTAGCATGCTTGTACACTGGCATGTCATTGGCACGTAACATGCCCGTTATGCACGACCGGTTTGCTACCATGTCCATACGGCAGAAGCAAAGCAAGGAAGGGGGCGGTCCGCCTCGGGCAGTATGTGACAGAGGCAGCATTTTTTTGCGGTTAATTGTTCGAAACTAAATGTAAGGATACACTTTCCAGATAATCTGCGTGTTGAGTATTTTGTTGTGACTCTGTGTGACCAACAACACCTTTGCTCCATGTGTCACACCTGTGCAAACACTCTTCTCATTGATCTCCTGACTTGTCCCATAGCAGTCGCTTTCACCACATTTGCCTCGGTGTCCCAAAACAACAGCCATTTCATCGACGACTGATGTGCACTTTATCCTGAGCGGATTGTATGGCCATAACGCGCCTATTTAGCCATTAGTGAGGGTGAAACTTGACCACCTCCCCAGGGGCAAATGTGGTCTCTACACCACTGCCTCACGGACATGTGTAATACAGTTATTATGCTGCACTAAATATCTGTTCCATCTGTCAGGACTTGCATCAGCTCTGTTCGTTATGCGTACTCGGGTTCTGCTCCGACTGAGTGAGGGTGCTCTTCCAAAACCAAGAGGCCTGATACGCGACGCGATGATCAGATTATTGAATTACCAACAAAGTTCAACCAAGTATTATCAATGGAACCATCGTTTATAAACTCCCAGGTAGCTTATCCAATGAGTTCCGCCAGTATAACGTGATGTGTAATCGAACGAAATAAAGCATGTTCCTGTGGATATTCTGATGAACACACAGTCATAGTATCGTGACGCAATCACTCAGTTCTAGACTACCTACTGGCTTTCGTTTATCGACCACGAGCTCTGCATTCGTAAACATTATAACAAGCCTTTATGGCTTGTTTCCCGGCTGAAAGTGGTGAGCGAATCTACATAACTGAATCGCAGAATGATTGTAACAAATTTGTGTAGGTCGGTCTTGAACTGACTCCTGGGGATGCCGGAACTAGCAGCTCGTGAACACTGAACAACAAAGAATACTTTTTCCTGAGTAGAGCGATTATTTCTTGTTCCAAAACCCTTTCTAAAGTGAATGGCAGATAGGAATCCATCTCTGGGATAAACATTATGAAAAATAAACAACTGCCACAATGCAGGCGTCGTTGCGTCTGAGTCCCATACTTCAGTGTTTCCCGACAGTCTACTATCTACCATACAGTTCGTTGCAGCGTTATAGAGGTACCACACCTTCCTTCTTGGGACGATCGTCACGAACAAAGCATTTAACTGTATCACTGCTTTAGTGTCAGCAAATTACGAGAACGCCCATGTTTCAGTTACGAAGACGAAGTTTTACACTTAAGCAACATGATATTTCCGGAGTTCAGCAAGCTTATGGATAAGGCTGTGTGCATTCTTTATATACAGGACAGTTTCTGTCTCCTAAGTACGGAGTCGGGCGGCTAGGTGATTACGTGTGAAGTTACGTCGACTGGTGTAAGGTCGGCCACTAATGTTTTTCATTGGAGCAGAGACAAAAGAATAAGTGGTCGGTTCACCGATTACGCAATTTGCAACTTGATCCTATCTTCGTTCGTAACCCATGGAGTTGGACCACTGGTCTCGGCGGCTGGCAGAGTAATAGTATTCCTACCGTTTTCCGGATATGGTTTCATTAATATCTCGGGCTGTGTGATTTCTTGAAACAGGATGACTTGAACCGAAGCACAGGTAATCTGGTGTGACGCACATATGCACGCATCAAAATCTCTGTTGGCATCCTTTTGGATTTAAGCGCTACCTTCATGATGCTTGGACCACATCCTTTATAAGTTAGTTAGGTGAGTAAACTGGAGATGTTTTGCGCTGGTGTTATTTTTAAAGACACGTTCTCACGAATGCAACATTACTGTTCCCGGTAGCTGGTGCAAGCTTTGTGCCCATCATGTCTACTGTGGTAGTCATAACCAAGAACAAGGATCGTCCTGTCCACGGATTGGTTCAAGTAGTATTCTAAGTCATGCTAACAAGTTTATGCTCGGTCCATAGAGTAGATAGGAACATACGAACCGAATAGAACTGAGGGTGAATGTAAAAATATCGATGCCGGAGCTATTTCTGCTTGACCAGTGGATTTGAGAACAACTCGGCGAAGTCTCCGTCCAGTGTAGAGCTCGGTTTGGGCGACGTATGAACCATACCAAGTTATCGGGCTTAGCTACACCACCTTAGATGGTATATATTAACTTTATCTGTCTCAGGTCAGAAAGTTGCGTTCCGTCTAAAATCATTTGACATTGATTTTAGAACAGCGGTGTAGATTACTGATAGTGCACTATATGGTAACTTAATGACCAGTTGTGCAGCGTGTGTAGTGCCCGATTTCCCTAAAGGTCTGCATCACATTAGTGATGGTTTTATGCAGACAGATTCACCCGCATTATTTATTTTGGATCTCATGAGGTCAAATGACGAGCTCAGTTTCCTGAAGTTGCAAGTATCACTCGTACCAATGCCCTGCAAAGACATCACAGCCGAAACACTCACAAGAAGTTTTGTGGAATTCTGGGTCGCTGCTTACGGTTGCCATGTAACCTATTCTACAGATAGAGGCCCTCAGTTTGAATTCAGCAGATTCTTAGAGACCCCAAATTACTAGGCACTCATCACACTTCCACTATCGCCTGCCATCCTGTTTCGAAGTGTATGGCCAAGCGTTCCTATGGGCAGCAGGAAACAGCGCTTATTAAAGTCGATGTACTCAACTGAACTGAAGTCTTCTCAATGGCACTACTCAGCAGCTGCTCAGAAATCAACACGAACCTTTCAACTTCCAGTACTTAATTCATCTACTGGCAAACCATATGACTTCCTGAAACTTACTTCTTCTGATTTCCGAGATCTTATCACTACGATGACTTATATGTCCACTAACAGCCTGCTAAGCTACGATTAACTCGAAGCTTCGAAACCAGGGAACCCAACCGTAATTCTTTCATCCAACAAGATCCAAACAATTGTTCGTATGTTTTCGTTCGCTTTGATGGCATTCGCAGACCGTTCGAGTAACCAGACGGAGGGCCATTTAATGTCAGTCAATGCGAAAACCTAGTCTGAATTATTTAACTCTACGGTCAACGCAAGGCCCTTAGCGTCTACTGACTCCAAGTCACTCATTTCAAATCCGATGAATACATAAACCTTCAGTTCTGTCAATTCCAGCCGAATCGTCTGAGACAAGGCATAGCTCCGAAATCGACCGCAGCCACAGCCGAACCGCGTCTTGACTAGGTCCGGTAAACAAATTAGCTGGCTGGCGCGTCTAAAATACTAACGTCCTTTTCTTTTTATTCTCGTTTTTCATTCCGTTTGGTCAAACCAA